GATATAGTCCCCAACAAGACAAAGTTATTATCCCTAATAACAAAACCAAACCTTCTTAAACGTTCCATATTATCTGAACTATTTGTATTAATTTTGTGCTAATTAACCTAAGGATGATCCCAGTTAACATAAACATGACACATCCCCCTTAGTCATTTAGATATAAGAAGTAGGTTTGCTTCATGTAATGGCCTTCCAAATTAGCTGTAATAAATTATCCATCTTAGTTATGGAAACACTTAGAACGAATATTAACAATTTGCTCACATAATCTCGATATTTTCGTAGAAAAACAATAATATATATTCCTTTTCATCACCCACGTCAACGACAAGTGGCTCCATCCAAACAAGTTCCATATCAATATCCTTATAATGGACCTATGGCCATGGTTGTAGACTTGGCTATGCTGAGGCATGATAGACCAAGTCTGGTCCATCTCTTGGCCACCACAAATTCTACACTGTTCACCCATGTATATCAAAATATTTAGTCAATTAGAAGCCAAGAGTCTTCATCATACCAATACATTCCTACTTGAAGCCAACCACTTAGAAAAATCTAATAATAAATGATGAGTGGGAACAAGTTGGTGAACTTTTGAGGCACGGAAGGAACACGATTCGCCTTCTTTGTGGAGCGGGTGGCATTTCGGAACCCTCCCGAGGATGAAGACGGCTGGACTCAGTCCCACACGAACGCGGAAGGCCGACGACTTCGCCGGGGGCTCCTTCACACCATAAAATATGCATCACGGAATCCCACTATACCTTGTCTTCGAAGCTAATGGTCGCTCTCTATCTTTCTCTTTGCGACCTTGATCAGGATCAGAGGCTCTTCTCTCTCTATATTAGCATATCCTCTCCATCTCTCTAAAAGTCCCTTCTCACTGTGATCCTACGAAGCCTTCTGTGAGCTCTCTCCGCCATGTCCAACGTCCCAACCTCTCTCTGTGACTCCTCCCTCACCCTCTTCCGCCTTGCCATCTCCAGCTCCGACCCCTGGCCCTTCTCTCTCTAGCCCCCACCTTCTCTCTGCAGATATATACATACGTAGTTGATCTCCTGTTCTGGTTCTTTTGATTTTGCTGTGATCCGGAGATGAGGAAGAACAACGAGGTGGACAAGAAGAATAACAGCCATCACCACCACCACCACGGCCACCTGTGGACGTCGTTGAGCTTTCAGCTGCACATGCCACATCTGGGCCACGACAAGGAGAAGGCTGGGATGCCGCCCAAGGGTTGCATGGTGATGTGGGTTGGGCAGGAAGGGGAGGAGCAGCAGCGGTTCGTCGTGCCGGTGGTGTACCTCAACCACCCGCTCTTTGCGAAGCTCTTGGAGGAGGCAGAGAAGGAATATGGCTTCGACCAGAAGGGGGCAATCGTCATCCCCTGCGGCGTCGATCACTTCCGCCATGTCCAGGATCTCATCGATGGCGAGGGCGGCGCTGCCGGTGCTGCACCTGCTGCTGGCCATAGTCGTCGCCACAACGACCAGCACCAAAATCAGCACCGCCACAGGCCGGTTATTAACGACCACGAGAACGAGCGAGCCTGTGCTGCTGCTGCCGCTGCCGCTGGCGGTGGTCATCGCCATGGCGATCATCATCATCACAGGCAACACAGTCATCACCACCTTCCCCACTTTGCTGCATGCTTTGGAGCGTGATGGTTGAAGCAATAAACCAAAAATTCCCCCTTTTCTTTCATGGATTTTCATTATTGGCTTGCTTTTGGAAAGTTGTTAAAGATCAATTGTATTGACAGTGATGATGACGATAACTTGTGAACAGAGGAATGTTTGGTCTGTAATCTTTTTCTATTCCATGATCGCTTTTGTTGCAAACACGCATTGGTGAGGATGCTAAAAGTCAACTATGGACTTTTCTCAAACCTCTTATATATATATGCAATACATAAATGAAAATTTCACCTTGTTAATTAGTAGTGTACAATGGCAACCTTCTTGATGTAGATTGGGTGAACACCAGAGCCTTAGCTGGAAGGAATATTTGGAGAAGCAATAGAGTAATCATCTACCAGTGCTATCTGGAATGCTAGTTTTAGTTTGACGCAAAGGTGTTCTACGGTGGGTCATGTTGTGAATGTTGGGTAGGAAGCAGTCACATTTGGTGGAGAAAAGGAGAAGAATGGGATTGTTCATGTCATTGTTTACGTCCTGAAATGATGACTAACCAATTAAATGACATTTCTGACTTGACTTTATGAAGTATAGTTTCTAACACCATCATTCAGGAGCCGAAAGTCTACTGTGAACATGCCGGAATGATTTATACTATCATTCATATCTTCTATTCCTTTTGTCTTTTTGAATGGATGATTGACAAGCTTAGATGTCAACAGGTATTCTCAAGCCTTCACATGTATTTGTCAAGAATTTGCAGCTAGATAAAGGCCTACAGCCCCATATCCACGTTTACATTCTGCTAAGATTTTGGTCCTTGTCTTTGGCCTCTTCTAATCTTATTTCTTTGACTTCTGCTTCGACAATCGCAAGTTGGTTTGTAGAAAGAATCCTGTCAAAGCTCCTCTTAATCCACTGGAAGTAGCAACAATTCCCATCCTGCAGAGTAGATCTCTCTATATTAGTCTCTTTCCTGTTCTTTGATAATGATACTAATGAATAACCAGTGGCTGGAATTTGAATACTAAAAGGTTTTAAGTTTCAAGCTGTAAGTTCTTCTTATCTGGCAAAATGATAGAAGCAACAGAAGAGATCGCCGAATGTATACACCACATTCTCTGTTTTGCTCAAGAACAGGTGCATATTATGAGTATCAATTCAATGATGAAGATGCCATTTATTTCGGTGTGAGTACAATTACACAACTAATTTGATTCTCACAACATCAGACCTCGATCTTAATGTGGATCAAAAACAACGCAACAACTCTGCGCTCCTTTCTGCATCTTAGCAAACATCTCTGAGTACCACAGGAAAGAGCAGACTCTTTGGATGAGCAAAGGACGACCTGCATGAGACCTTTATCTGAAGAAGGCAAACTTGAACGTAAAGGATGGCGAAGTTGGATCAGTTACTGCTGTGTAGAAGGAGCAGCTGTCCAGTAAGTCTTGACAGCAAAAAGGATCTTCTCAGGGTTGAAAGGTCCACTTTCATGATCCACGATCTTACACTTCCATCTCATCCTCTCTGCGATCCCCTGAACTTTCGTGAGGACGTCCACGGTGTCGCGGACTATCACTGTTCCCTCCGGCCTCAGTATCCTATCCATCTCCAAGAGTATGTATGTAATGTCACCACACCTGCAAAAACTTTCCATCAGTGAGATCTTTAAGATAAGAGAGATCGCATTGTCACAGCTCTTGCTGATGCCATATGTTCTACGTTACTTACTTCGGGTAGCACTCACTATCTGGCACAAACAAATATAATAAAGGCATGAGAAAGATGCAGGAGATTTTTGACACGCAAAGATGTAATTTACCATGGATCAGAGAATGAATTGGCTTTCCTAACTTGTAGGGAGTGTAGTGATGAAAGGAAGGCTGCTGAAGAGACACATACCTGTCCTGATAAATGCTGAAAATGGCACTAGCATGAATGAGATCATAAGTTCTGGGATAAGTTGAGAAGGCTTCACACCAGTCCTGATATGTACCGATGAATCCCCTCTCATAGATCACACCAAGGGTGTCATAATCTGAATTTGCAGGGACTACATTCATCACCCAGATGGGATAATCCATCAGAGCTGCTGCAAATCCACCCAAGTAGGCATTCATGTCCATCGCATTTCGGTATCGCCCTTGAGACAACGGCGGAATGATTCGCTTGTAATACTCTATCCGCTCTTTCCACACCGTGTTGTCGTCTTCAAATTTCTTCACGGTCAAGCCAGGGATTGTACCTTTGCTTATTCTTGGGGGCACAGCAAATGCCCTCTGGGGCCATTTCTGGAGTTCACCACCTGCTACTTCGCTGCTACTGCTTACTTCTGGTAACGGGGTGATGCAGGCCTCCATTTTCCAGTACCTGCAAACACGACAATGCTAAGGAAAAGGCGAACATATTTCTGCACATTTTTGTCGTACGGTGCACTAAATTCCTACCAGGCAGCATCAGCATTGTCATTCTTGCAAATGTGAGGTGTTTTGTAGATCCTTCTGCTCTGGATGCAATCGGCATGGTTGATGGGCTTCTGCCAAATCGCAAGATCGCCCTTCTCGATTACTTTCTTCCAGCAAAGGCGTTTGGCGACGTCCTCTATTGAATCTTGCTCTTGCTTTAGATCTTCTTGAGTCCTCTCCCAGCCTACATAGTACTTCTTCCAACGAATTGGAGGACCAGAGAGAATCCAGTAACCTCCAGGTCTGAGAACTCGGTCAACTTCAATCAGATACAGGCCATCTGATACAGAATGTCCATGGATGTGTAAGACAATCTAGCATGCACACAAGAGTGGTGATTTTTGATTTGGAATTGAACTCACCAAAATCTTGCCAAGGAATCAAACACCGGGAACAATGAGCCATATCAAATGCTCTCGCAGGGTACGGCAACCTCTGTGTGGCCATCACTCCAATCATGGCCGGAACTCCCCGCTCCAGAGCGAACTGCACCTGCGCCTCATGTGTGTCTCTTGGTGCAAATGACATTGTTAGGATGTCCCTCTTCAGAAGATAAGCTCCCCAACTGGCAACCTGCAGCAACGTGTTGTTGAGATTGCTTCACGATGAGGAAAAGGGAAATCCAGACCTCGGTTGGGAAGACGAAGGGGCTTACTCCGCAGCCTGTGTCGATGGCAGTCCTGATATCGCCATCAGTCAGTGAGACGAGAGCATTTATGTCATCGATATAAACGTCGGCACCACGCGGGAACATGGTGCCACCTCCGGGGAATCTGAACCGGTCGCCTTCGACCTGGATCCAGTTCTGAACAGCCTTCTCGATGCTCAGCTCCCTGTGAGGAATGTTGTCATACCAAGCGTAGTCTCTGCTCCGAGGCCATTTGAAGGGTGTTTTGTACTTTGGTGGAGCAGGAATCAGGCACCGGATGAGCTCATGTTGTGCAGGACAGTGTCGCTCTCGGTACGCTAGCATCGCCCTCGCGAACTTCTTACACCTGGTTAGGTCTTGGCAGGGTGTGTACTCGCTGAAGTTGAGAGCACAAGGTGGGAATTTCTCCGTCACCATGAACGTATCATTGAAGCTTAGCTGATGGTGAGCTTGGAAATCGAGGGTTTCACCCTCTGATGACGAGGAGGTGGATAATGACTCGGTGGATCGAGGGAAGTCATTGTCGCATTCAACTTTCGACGCCAAATCGGATCTCTGATTCAAGGTGGGGGTAGTGCTGTTCTGCCAAGCCCCAAGAATGTAGAACAGAACACAGAGGCCACTCACAGAGAAGATATAGGTTACACGACGCCTCTTCGATTCCGACGGGTGGATCTTTAGAGATCCAGAATTGTCTTTGGCCATCGGACCTGTTAGATTTGCACAGGATAGCATTCAGATATTAAACCACAAATGCATCATAACTGAGAGTCAGGAATACCACCAGATCATGAAATCAAGAAAATGTGGAGCCTAAAGCAGAGGCAACCTGAGGTCTCCTTAACCACGATGACAACAACTCAAACAAGAAAAGAGAGAGAAGAGGGAACAACAGGCTGCAGAATGCAAAACATCAAAAGCACCAGATCAACTCCAGAGCTCAAAAGGCACATCTACCTGTGTTAGGTCTCAACAGGTCTGCAGTGGAAGAAGCAGAAGAAAACTTACAGACAACCTTACATATACTACTGAGCTCATGAATGAAACAGCCACCTCCCACGAGGAGGATTGAACAAAGCCCCCACCAAACCAACAAAAAAAAGAATAATTCACGACAGAGATCTGCAGAGTCCTCTTCACATGGGTTTACCCATTAAACAAAAGAGAAAACAGTGATAGCATGGGCATACCTGAACAAGCTGCCCCTTTACGTCCCTCGTTTTTCTGGTTACCACCTGCTTTCCTCTCCTCGGTTCAGAGATAACATGACAAGGAGCACATGGAGAGAGAGAGAGAGAGAGAGAGAGAGAGCTTATGGTTTCAAGATCACTCGACAATGTTGTGGTTGTCAGGGAAGAGCTTGTGGGAAACTATTCCTTTTTTGGCAGATTGCTTTGTTCCTTACTTGTTCTTGTTCTTATGGTTTCCTGCTCTGCTTCTGAGAGGCTCGGATGAAGGACTTAGTCTGGGCAAACGATTTATAGAAAGTCGCCGAGGCCGCGTATTGCGGAGACATACTCGCCCCAAATTGCTCTGATTCACAAGTCCCCCATCTCTCTCTCTCTGGACAAAAAATTGTAAGCCTTTTTGAGTTTTAGAATAAGAATTCAACTTCAAGTCAGGGCTTTGTACTATTCTTGTACATTAGTTTGTAGCAATCCAGATGTTGAAACATGGTTCAAAGTGAGTGACAACATTTACTCCCTGCCTTTCACAATTTCAACTCAGATCCACCAAAATATCTGAACCTTTTTTTTTATTTTTCTTATATATATATATTATCCGTAAAAAGATAATTTTAATATTTTTCGAAACGAAAGGAATAATAAAATTATCTTTTTGCTTATCACTTTCGTACCGATGTAATACGTGATATCATATGTGATATTTTATTTTCAAAATTATAAAAATTTTAATATAATTTTTTTAGATATAAGAATAGCAATACTAATAGGATCTAAGTATAAGATGTAATATATAATTAGTCAAAATTATTTCTTATTTAACTTAAGTTTTCTTTTTCAATCATGGAATAAAAATAAATTCTTCTAATATTTTCCTCTATATTATCTAAAACATAGAAGCCTTTGTTACTATGAAAACAATATATTGAGATTATTGTCTTTTTCAACATATTATACGTTGTTTCATATATAAAATTTATTTTAATTTTTAAAAAATATATTGAGATACATGCATATTATTACATAATTGAAGGATCTGATCGAATCCCTATTTCAATGTCTTGTACGTTATTTAATGCATGAAAATTTTGTTCTAAGAAAGTAGAGTAATGCTTGCGATCAGGTCATGGTTTGCAGAAGAACTGCTAGACAAATCCATACATTCAAACAACCATACTGAGTTCAGCACTGTTAACCGCAGAAGAAGCCATCACAAGTCGGTGCATTAATTATATCGACAATACTGGCATGTAAAGCATCAGAACCGAAATATTCTACATTTTTTTTATAGTATCTCAAATGCAAGCCTAAATCAACTGTTTGTGTGTGCCAGAGAAAGACTCTCAAAGTTGCTGCCCTTAATTTTGGATACCAAGTCGAACACCTCTTCCTTTAGCTTGCATTGCATAAAACATGTCTGCTACAGGCGATGCCACACTCATGCTTTCGAATATTTTGTACTGTAGCAGGAACATCCTTTGCACATTCATGAGATCTTCAATGCTTGTATTAGGTTACTGGAAAGCTCATGGATCTAAAGGCATGCAGCTTGCAGTTGGTCTTTCAAGCATCATCTGGAACACCATTTCCCCATAAACAAACCCGGAGATGGCTTCACGACAGCTACTCCCCTGGCACAATAAAGCACAAAGATCCATGGAGAAGCATGCTGATCTGAAAGCAAAGGAACTCAGAGGTATCGTTTCCTACAGTGAGCTGCGTTGTTCATGTACCATTTCCATCGCTTTCTCGTCTTGGAAAAGTCTCCCCTTCGCGTGGCTTGCACACGCCTCTCTGTTTCTTAAGTGTTATCGTGCCATCTTACATTTAAGATTCGACAAGCTCGAATCTATCTGCGTGCGCATTGATCCAGTTGGAGTAGAATACTGAATGACGAGAAAACAACGTTTCATCTGCTCCGGTCTGCAAAGGTAACAAGTACGTGTGACATGACTTCACAATTATAACTTTGTGCTTACCAGTGTGAGGTAAAATGCAATTACTTTGCTGTTCTGTGCATGTAACGGAGAAAGATAGCGTGTGGCAGTACGACACCGAGGTGGACGGGGAGAAGGTCATGAGCCTGCCGAACCCGTGGCTGGCGGCGGGGGCGTCAGCAGTGGCGTTTGCGACAGGGGCGATGCTGCCTTTGTTGGCAGGAGGGTTCATAAGAGCATGGGGGGGCAACTCTTGGTGGGATTGAAAGCTATCAGCTGAGAAGATTTCGATCCAAAAAAATGGTTCCGATTGTTAATTTTACTGCACAAACATATAGTTAGATAAGAAACTGGAATTTGTGGGAAGCCAAGAAATTGTATGCTTTCTGGAAGAATGAGGAACTATATCTTCTGATTCATGGAAAAGAAAAAAAAATACAGAATTACAAAGTTAAGAACAAATACCGAGCAGCAAAATCGACAAAACATTCTTAGTTTGGTTTGTCCTCAAATCATATCATACTAATTTGAGCTTAAGTATTTAGAACATTAGTGTCCGGCAATGAGGGATAGTATTTTTGAAGGGGAAAAACAGAAAAAGATAGTATTGACCTCATGACATGACAAAATCTCTGTATCCAATTGTCAGGAGGATACAACAATTAACTAAAGACTCTTATCATTCAGTTAATTTCTTTTTACGTGTGATCACAAATTTGTGAGTTGATTTCTAGAAGTTTAATTTGGGCACCAGAGATGAGCAGATGGAAGAAGATATTAAATTGGTCTTGCGTGAGATTGGACTGAAACAGGGGAGACAGAATGCCATTCCGTGGCAAATAGTTTAGCTCTTAGATATTAAATTCCAGCAAACGATGTTTCTTTATATACTGATTACAAATCTAACTTCTGGGAATGAGAAAATGTGATATGTTCGTAAGTAAATTCACAACATTTTTCACCATAAAGGTATATGACACTCTTTCCCATAAGGAAAACTTCATTGCTCAGTGCTTTTTGGCCACCGGCCTCTACAGAATCAGATTACGAACAGCAGACCATTCTTCTGCAAACCATGATGTTCATGGATGCAATTCTTGTTTGCTTGACATGAACTGCCATCCCAAATAGATGAGCTGCACCCGAGTTTGCAGCTGCACCAAGTGGAGGGTCAGCGATGCGCTGGGAATGAACGATTGGCCTTTAAAATGCAGGCAAAGCTCTCCAATTCTAGTATTAATTTGTGTGGAAGTCATTCTAGCATTTCATCAATGCCGTCCTGTTTTCGTCTTCTAGGCCTCAATCCACAGAACGTTAGGTTCACCTGCTCCATTGAACTAACAAAAGCTACTTAAAAGTATCTTAGGGCCCGAAACCTTCAGGAGAAAGGTAATGACAGCTACTTCCTGTCCAACTTAGGATGGAATCTACTTCACTGAAGTTGACAGTAGAGCAAAATATTCAAAGGGGTTGCTTCAGAAGAGAAGCCACCGTGAACAGAGCGCCTCCCACATGGAGCGCGTGATGCTCGCATTGAATTCATCAAAATGAAGATAACATAATTCTGGTCGGTCCATCGGCTCTTTCGGGTGCTCGCCACACGCCATGGATTTGTTTATCAGCCATCTCGTCCTACATCGGCATCTTGTGAGCTGGATCAGCGCAAGTAGTCGCCTTCTTGGAAACGGACATGAGGGTATGACCTTTGACCTCGAGCTCATCACCTGCGCCAAGCCTTAGTTTTTACCAGTGATTGCGGTGGATGCCACTCGGGCGTGTGGCCGCCACTCTCCGTTCAGCCTCTTCCTCCCACTCTTATTCAGGTTTCTCTCAATCGGGAAGAGGAGAGGATTCATCGGCAAACGTCATTCTGAGGTATGAAGATAAACCTTCTTGTTCCAGTATTGAATAGAAAGAGATGCTTCAGTGACCATTTCGTTTGGTTGGTATGAAGTCCGAACATTTCTAAGCTTAGATCAGGAATCAAATGAAAACATCAAGTGATCATCACTTGCAGGTGAAACAAGGAAGCCGAATTGAAGATATCTTGATCAGTTATCAGAGTCAGTCATTACCAAATGAATCGTAATAACATGCTCAATTTCCAGCAGTATGCCTCCCCACAGCTGAGCCGATTCCCGGTCGATGATTTTACCGGAGAGGAGTGGTGCTTCGAACAGGGGAGGACGTCGAAAAGAGATCCACGGGGTTCCGCCCGTCGGACGACGACGGTGGACAGAAAACAAGCGAGAGAGCAGCGTGAGATCGAGAAGAATCTAGTGAAGGTGCGGAACGAGTGGATGAAGGTGAAGGAAGAGATGGGTTACGTGAAGCAGCGCGGAGAACTCCTGTGCGAGACACTAATGGCGACTGATAGAAAGGTGGGTGTGCTGCTCGTGGAGCTCGAACGCGCTGAGGAGTATGTGAGAGGCTTGATGGCACAGAAAGATCGACTTCTGGAAGGGAATGCATTGGCTAATGCTTTAGATTATAGTGTGGGTAAATAACTGAGATTAGATTAGAACGTTTGACTGTAGTTCTTGTTCATATTCCTTTATGTTCCTGCAATGCTCTAATCCGATCAGAAAATTAAAGGCCTTCATTGGTTCCTGCACAGTGTCATTCATCGGAGGTGAATCGGGCCAAATTAAAGCCCTCTACAATGTCTAAAAAGAGCTATCCAACATTACAGTGTCATGCAACCTGTTTGTGTCGAGTTCAATTTGACAGATCAAATATGTGGCTTCTAATGTGTGGAATGACAGTTTTTTACTTTGTTGAAATATAAAATCTATTTCTATCGCAGTTATTTTGTTGTTGACTTCTTCTTTTTGTCTGTGTCCTGAGAGAGATTTTGAGGTGTTCTGTGGCTTGCTTAACGTACGCAGTCCCAACAAAAGGCTTGCTCCGATCTCGGCCTTAACGTACGTTGCATGGCCATGTTCCACGACCGCCACGTGAACCACCATCCCGCCACGTGCCCTCACACGTGGTGAGCGAGCCCTCGTCTTCCTCCCTATATCGCCCACCTCGCCTTACCATGGAAGGCGGCTGAGCTTCTCCTCTGTTTTCTAATGGTATTAGCTCTTGTTGTTGCTGATACTGCTGTCTTCTCTTGTGCTCGCTTCCCTCTTAGGCTTCTCCTCCATCTCTCCGTCACTTGTCTAAGAGCCCACAGCCTTTCTACTGCAGGACGATCTTTCCCATTACTCCCAGCCTTTCATCCGCGACGAAGCGCTGCTTCTTTCACGACAATGGCCTCCGGCAGTCAGCAGTTCCCTCCTCAGACCCAAGAGCGCCAACCCGGCAAAGAACACGCCATGGAAGCTGTACCTCGGGCCACCAGCGAAGAATACAAGCCGGCTAACAAGCTTCAAGTCCTCTCTCTCTCTCTCTCTCTCTCTCTCTCTCTCTCTCTCTCTTTCTCTCTCTCTCTCACCCCAAGGCTGGTCATAATAGGCATGGCCTTTTGCGCGCAGGGTAAGGTAGCGCTTGTGACCGGAGGGGACTCCGGTATAGGTCGGGCGGTGTGCTACTGCTTCGCACTGGAGGGTGCGACGGTGGCATTTACGTATGTCAAGTCTCAGGAGGATAAGGATGCGAATGACACCCTCCAGATGCTGAGGCAGAACAAAAGGAGCAATGCGAAAGATCCCATTGCAATCCCAGCTGACCTTGGCTACGAGGAGAACTGCAGGAAGGTGGTGGAGGAAGTGATGAACACGTATGGCTGCATCGATATCCTGGTGAACAATGATGCGGAGCAGTACGTGCGCCCGTTGATCACCGAGATCACTGAGCAGCAGCTGGAGAGAGTCTTCAGAACCAACATCTTCTCCTACTTCTTCGTGTCCAAGTAGTGATCGGTCTCGAGTTGTAGCACTACTATTTCCTTTCCACTCTCATCGCGCTAATGTCCTCTTTGAACCATCACGTTTCGACCAAGGTTCGTGGTGAAGTACATGAAGGCCGGAAGTAGCATCATCAACACCACGTGGGTGAACGCCTACAAGGGTAACGCCAAGCTACTGGACTACACGTCCACCAAGGGCGCGATCGTGGCCTTCACCAGGGCGCTAGCCCTGCAACTGGTGGAGCGGGGGATCCGCGTCAACGGCGTGGCGCCGGGCCCGGTGTGGACGCCGCTGATACCGGCCTCCTTCCCCCAAGAACAGGTGGCCAACTTTGGGAAGCAAGTCCCGATGGGGAGAGCCGGGCAACCCATCGAGATCGCCCCCTCGTTCGTCTTCCTTGCAGCTACTCCAGACTCGTGGCCTTGGATTTCTTACTCCTCGTTGGCTTCTCTCTTGTTGTGTGCAGGCGGAACTGTAGTGAATGGTTGAAGCAGCAGTATCTGATACCACAGAATAATCTGGTCCATGTTTAGCCCTCGTACGACTTAATGTCAACGTTCAACTTTGCGGCTGTATTTTGGTCGTATGTCAAGAACATGGATAGATCATAATAGATCGCGCGTGCATCCATTCCGTTGGGCTTGCTGCGTTAACTGGGCAGTGGGTTGTGTTGGACCGGCGGTTCATAACGCATCTTCTATTTTGTGTGGTGGCTATATATATATATATATATATAGCCCAAAGAACACGTCGCATATGGCTATTTATTTTGAGGGTCATTAATTCTTTGGTTGATTAGGTATAGTAACATGTGTTGCATGTTTGTGTGATTACGATACACGTCAATCTCAATCGAAGATCGAAAGAAGGAATTATCTCGAAAAGAATTATGGTGGAGAAGAAGCATCTCCAACCACAAGACAAAAGACCATCAAGAGAAAACAAATGATAATATGGTACTTGATAGGAACTAATAACAATGGAGATCTTTAATATTTTTTGTGAATAGCATCATGTATAGTTTTCGATCTTAATCATGGTCCCAAGTCAGATTGGGTGGCTTGAATCCAGGGATAAAGACGAATGGAAATTTTCAAGTGAAATGACATTAACAAGAGTTAAAGATTAGTCTACAATTTAATACTCTTTTACTACCTTTTATCATGCTGATACATAAACTACTTTGACTTTGTTTGTGTTGCACATTAACATTGTGTTCATTGTGATGACAAGAGCAACAGCCACAGCATCTGAAAGAAAAACGAAAGGAAATTTTTTAAGGAACAAATTGATAGGTGTTTGATATGATTTTTTTTTTATTAAAAATATAATTATAATAATTCCAACAACTTAAGGTGGTGACTGATAACATTTAGAATTGCCTCCCGGCAAAGGTTGCCGCAGGTGTTAGGTGTTAGTAAACAAAAGTACCGTAATTGGTGAGTTAGAAATTTCTGACGGAGTGAATAGAATGATGAGGTGGCTGCGCCTCTTGAACGTCTCGGGCGAGAGTCAGACCGACAGGATCGGTTGAGCCCTCGTGAGTGGATATAAGTCGGCGCTCCACGGTCTGCCGATCTAAGAGTCATTTGTGTGGGTTGCGTCCTTCCGTCCCGGGGTGGTCGATAGCTTATCTTCGCGACGTGATCGTACTCTCGGGAAGGGGTGCTAGTTGGCATTGATTGGGATCCGGGTCTAGAGACTAATTCCAACTAACTAAAGGTGAACAAATTACAATAATTCCAACAACTAAAGGTGGTGACTGATAACATTTAGAATTGCCTCCCTTGATGGCAAAGGTTGCTGCATTGCTTGGCTTCCAGAGTCACTGCATCCTTGAAATGTGTGATGCTACCTGTCTCAGTAGAGAACAGTGATTTCCAGCAAACACCACACTATAGAAGCATCTGATGCTGATATATGTTCCCAGCTACCTCTGCATTCAATGCTAGTTGTCTTTTCTGTCCCTAACTTTTGCCAAACAAGGATCAATTTCTATTCATCAATACATTTGTCACTATAAACAAAAAATAGTTTGGATGCTGTATATATTTGGTTTCACTGTAGAAGACACAGAAGCTCAAACTCCACCACATATAGCTCAAATTCCACTGTAGAATCTTTTCAAATTTTAGATTTGGATTCTCATAGTAGTTATAAAATTTAATCTACAAAATATAAAATCTTAAATCTGAAAAATTTAAGAGTTATAGCCATGATAATACTTGTGCCAAAACTAACCCAACACCAGATTTCCAGAATTATTGGAAGGCTTCTTAGTGCTTGGTTTTAGTGGAAGCAGAAAAGAGTTCTGCCAACTCCTGCACAGTTGAAACTACTCAGCACTAGAGAAGGAAGTGGATATTTGTGTGCATTCACCATCAATTTTACCAAGAGCATCCTTGATCTTCTGTGAACTAATATGAATGATGAAGCTTCACTGTTCCAGCAAAAACTATGTCCAAACACTGTGTTGATCAGTAAATAGTGAGTTAGTTTCATGTTAAATATTGATGGAATCTGACTGTTCTTCCTTGTGGTCTTAACAGTGTTGTGGAAAACTAATGCTGCTAATGTCCCACAAAACGAGCCATTTGGCTCTTGATCTTTATCAGCTGTATCTTTCTTGGACAGCTCACTCATCATGTTCTTGTTGATCCAACTTTTTCTGCATTTGATCTCACAGATTCTTCTTTTCTTAGACTCTGTTGCTAGTGTTTGCTATTTAATAGCTTGAATTCTTCGTCCATATCTTCAACATAAGAGCCACTTGGAACATCCATGAATGTGACAACTCCAGGCTCTGTTCAGTTCATTCATCCCATGTATGAACTCTGGATCCTGACTCCATTGATCGAAGAATGTGAAGGGGGCCAGCCTCGGCCTGACACCCTCAAAGACACTGGTCACAGATGACAGTGATCAAACACCTCTTTAGCAGTGAAAGGATTCAGCCATATTTCCTTGTTACTCTGTCTAATCTCCTTAATCTTCTTCTCTTGTCCTTTTTCTCAATCTAGTGTTCAACATTCCCATCAATTTCATTGATTATGTTATTTTGACAGTATCTGACTGCAACTTGTTTTAGACGTCTTCATGAGTCTATCATACCTCCTCTTACTCCTATTCTCAATCCTTCTACACCTCTTAATCCTTTTAGTTAATAGATGAAATTTAGGTGATAACACCCAAAATAATAAGATGGAGTGCATCAACGGGCATACACAAACTATGTGGGACAGAACGAGAGGTATGGGAGATTCTTTGGAGTTTGGAATTATTGCGAAGACAGTCCTCGTTGGTCCCTCTATTCCTTCCTTCATTTCCTTGAGCTAACATCAACGATACGTCTACAAATTGGACACTGCAATTGACAAAATAAGCCACAATCATATTAAATACATATTATCTTTGCATGTGTTTTTTTTTTTTAATTAGAAAGTATTTTTTATTATATTAAATGATGATACTCGACTTAGATATGAAATCTATTGCTTGTACAATAATATATTAAATAATTCGAATGTCTCAAGTCTCTGTTATACGATGAATACAATCATCCTATAATCAAAATAGAGAGTATTATACAAGATCATACAAACTTGTTGATAATCATCCTATAATCAAAATACTTATCCAAAATCATCCATTATCAATGATAAGAAAATAATAATAATGTGGTTGAATCTATAAAAATTAAGATAATAGAATATGTATTAGTTATGTCAAAATAGGTTTTGGTTGTCCAACTTATATAGTAATTCGAATCCAACTGTAATCTTTTTTTCTTTTTGGAGAATATAATTGGTGGAATCGAGTAGAGTGCCAAAATTACTCGCTCGAAACTTGTAATGTTGTGTTGAGACATGTCCGACAAAGCCTTCCTAATTAGTAGTATTAGGTATGTTGAATTCAAACACTATGAATTCATTTTAGATTCCACCTATGGAGAGTGAAGGAGTCTGAGTGCGAGTCAGATGTGGCTGAGTTAGTATTCTTTTATCGCTTAAGTGTCGGCCACTCTCAACTCTAATTTTGATGAGCCCAAGCAACTAAAGCCAAACATGTACAGGAAATAGCCAACATGTATACCCAAGACAAAAATGATCAATGGTAGCATAATAAAACATGACATGATCATAATTTCTTGATGCAAACATCCATAAAATGGGTGCTCTACATTTGCTTCGAAAACAACAACTTGAGAAAAAGCTTCATCTGAATGCGATCCAGCAATGGGCATAGTGCTGTGGAATCACATGAACCAGAGTGAATTGTAGGTCCATGCCACATCCCGAGATAAGATGGATATGCATAATAAACTTGCTGGTTTGGTAGCATGTCATGATCAATTAGACACACAACATGGTTTCCGGACCATTATTGAGCGGGCTGAGATGGCCACAGACATCAGCTCTGCTCCCCCAGAATCTAGATTTGGTCATGATCCAAGAACAGCCGTTCGTTGATTGCGGACCCAATGAATGGTGTCGGCAACAGATTCCGAGCGTCATCCAATGAGAGATTTTTGTTGTATAGAGGTGTGCGAGGCCTATTTATGCGGTGGGTGGCGACTTGGCTCACTATGAACGCTTGTGTTTCCTGTGCGAGAAGATCCATCTGCAACGAAGCCATGGCATTCCGAAGCGGCTCTCTCGTTGCTCTCATCTTCCTTGTAGCATTGGCTGTCAGTGCCGGCACTTGTTCTGCGGCGAGACCTGAACCCTACGGCGGGAAGAACCTGAACTTCATCCGCTCTTCCTGCGGCGCGACGCAGTACCCGAGCCTCTGCTTCAGCTCTCTGTCAGCGTACGCGACCACGATCCAGAGGAGCCCGGTTCAACTGGCTCAGGCGGCGCTCTCGGTGAGCCTGACCGGCGCGCGCACTACCGCCGCCACCATCACCAAGCTGCTCAAAGGCAGCGGGGCCGGGGTGGGCGCCAGGGAGGCGGAGGCCATGAACGACTGCTTGGAGAACATGGGCAACTCGGTGGAGGAGCTCCGGGACTCGCTCAAGGAGATGGGGCATCTCAAGGGCAAGGACCTGCGGCTCCGCGTCAACGACATGCAGACGTGGGTGAGCTCCGCGTTGACCGACGAGAACACTTGCATGGAAGGCCTTCCCACCACCGCCAGCATGAAGGTTGGTGTGCGAGGCACCATCAGAGGCGAGATCGTGAAGGCCGTGCAGCTGACGAGCAACGCCTTGTCATTGATCAACGGCCTCTCCGGCGTTTAGATTTCCTCTTCTCTACGTTCCAGCTTAAGAGCAATGGCTAGCCAAGTGTCGATGGCGATGTGCGTCATATCCGTAAGTTATATGGTCTTCTGGTGTGCATATACGTAGCATGGAGTGAAAGCAATTGCAGTCGTCTGCATGACAACTTTGCATCATCAAGTCTCAGTAAAGGTTGATAGCCAATAAATCTTTCTTATGACAGCAGTCGTTCACTATCTGTGACGCTGAAGCGTTGACGGGAATTGACGTAAAGTAATTGGAGTCCAAAATTTGAAGTCCACAAACAAAGACCAATATAATAGAAATATTTATAATGATAATAATATAAAAGCACAGATACGAGATAGCTGGAATTCATCATCGAATCGACGACAAAAGCAGCTTTAGACGTGACCCAAAAAATATATTATCGCCAAGATTCGTGTTTGTGACCCAATAATAAAAGATATTAACTTATTAGAGACTATCATAAAATTTTATATTTAGATTTTACATTCGTTATTTATCTTTTGTAAAAGAAAAACAAACTCGAACGATTGAAACACCGCAAGTTAATGAAAGTTATTGGACCCAAATGGAGAGTAAAGGTTTTCGGAGTCGTTCATACACTTGAAAATAGAAGTTTTCATGCAACATTACGTGTTTTTTTTGCCTTCCTCAAAGAAAAACGAAAGTTGTATTGAATGAAGTGAAGAGACAAAAGATCGGAGTGGATGAGGTCTCGATGGAGTTGCGTCCTCATGAAGATAAGGTATAGATCTAAGCAAACATGGCCCTCACACCGCATGTGATTTGCTTTGAATAAAGCTATTACTCGGGCCAAAAAGAATGATGCCATTTATGATGAAGTTGATATTGTTGCTTGTAAGTTAAGATGTTCACTATAGTTGGTGAGTCACATTCAAGCCATATGGTTACATGTGTTGTTCCATGTCCCATTTCGACGTGTTCCTATAAAATAGTCACAAGATTCCGTCCCCATAATGATATTGTGTTTTATCGTCGCCATGCTAAAACATTGCGGTGCTATGTTTTTATTTCCGTAAAGAAACATTAAGATAGCGTAATGTCTTCACTTCTCATAGGAGGACGAATAACGTTATGACTAAATCTTTCTGCTATTTCTTTCTTTTAAGAAGACAAAATGATACGAGAGATGTTTGAATGTCACATCGTTAGTTCGACACCCACTTAGTTGCCCTATTAATTTGATACATCGATCAAATGAGACATATTATTGCAATAATGATACCAACCGTAACGTCAAATCTTTTCATGAAATAACTTTCTCGCTAAATGGAGATAGTTATGAGATCCATCTATAATTAGTATTATTATTTTGTATATTTTTTTGCTTCAGCATCTTTGTCGAGCATATTCTTAACCTAAATTTTAAAAAAAATTAGATTAATTATCGTATATACTCAGTCACAAATTGAAATGAGCCAAAGTCAATATATGCTCAATAATATTTTTATTAAGAGAGTATTCGATGATATGAGAAAAAATAAAATTAAATATTTTATTTTTTTATAAATATAAATATCCCGATATAATTTTTGAAAGTGTAAGGATGGATATAATACGTGCTCAATAGTATTTTCATCATGAGAGTTAGTCGTGTGAGAAAAAATTAAGTTAAATATTTTATTTTCTTAAATATAAAGATTAATGTAACTTTTAAAAATATAAAGATCTAAATATAAATATTAAAGGTAACTTATTACTCAAGTAATATATAATTAGCCTAAAACTATCAACTTATTATCTCAAAACCTCTCTTATGATAGAGTCAGATCTGAACCAATTGGGTTATCTCAGCGATATACATTTTAGACACCAACGAGGAAAAAAAAGATAATCTTGCTCCAAGAGATGACTCTAATAACGTAATCATAAAAGAATGATCTCTATTTATATATGCTAGAGATAAAGTTTTTAAATATCAAAGAGTTAGTTAAAAGAGATTTTCTCGTGTAATTGTGAAAATCTTATCTTCTATCACATCTAAAACCAAAAATTATATTAAAAAAATAATTTAATACGACATGCGACGAAGAAGGTTGTGATCGCTCATTCAATGGCAATCCCCAATCTGGGCTTGGATTGGGCCTCATTTTTGTCGGTGGTGTTGGAGTTTCCGGAGAACGGATTATCGTACACGTGGCTCCATCATTCGCGGCGGCTTCACTTCCCCTTGCTCCGGTTTCGCCTGCACGCGTCCGACGCCGAGTAATCCACCGCCCCGGAGTCGATGATGGGGAAGGGAAAGGGGAAGAAACCCCATCTCCATCCCCATCCCCATCCCCATTCAAGAGGACGTATCCGATGCATTATCCTCAGCGTTTGATTTCTGCTGGTTTAATCAAAGAAAAAGGTGGAAATATTTTTCGTAATTGGTCATTTATTTTTTAGAAGCTCTCGGGATTCTCCCCATGCTCGGCTGTCAAGGGACCTTTTGAAGTGGTAGATAAGCCGAGCAACGCGGCGCGGGTCCCACGCGACCCGCCGCTGTTCCCACGTGTCTTGCTGCATGGCGCCTGTGTATGGGACACGGGCGCAGGCGGCGGCGGGGGGCGGAAGGCGCCGCTCCGCCAACCCACCTATTAGTTCCCCGTTTCCCCGCTGCTCTCTCGCACTGTTCTATCTTTTTCCTCTCGTGATATGGCATACATGGTGCGGAGCTTCTCGCTGATCGGGCGGCTGCTCTTCTCGTCGACGCTGCTTTGGGCCTCGTTGTTTGCCACACCCGGGCCCAGGACGGTCACCGCCGGCCGTGCTGTGGGACAATGGGACCCCACGATTAGGTTGCCGACGGAGCGGGCCGGGCTCGATGGCCTTGGCGGTGGTGTTGACGAGAAGGAACAAGAGGACGAGGAAACGAGCGGGACGAGGTGGGCGCTGCTCGTCGCCGGTTCCTCTGGTTACGGCAACTACCGCCATCAGGTAGTCGAGCTCGGTGTCTTCGTCATGTGGAGTGTCTGTACCATACCCTGAGGTTATTCATGTGTGTGTAATATGGCAACAGGCAGATGTGTGCCACGCTTACCAGCTGCTGAGGAGAGGAGGGCTGAAGGAGGAGAACATAGTGGTGATGATGTACGACGACATCGCCAACAGCCCGCTCAATCCCAGGCCTGGGGTCATCATCAACCATCCCCAGGGCCATGACGTCTACGCCGGCGTCCCCAAGGTACACCCCCCTGCTCCTCCCATGGCGTAGTACATGTCAATCTTGCTCTGAGATGAAATCGTGATGAATACGAACACCTTCAACCGAGATGTCTTCATTTGAGCTCCAAGAAAGACGATAAGCCTTGGTGTTGGAGATCCAATTCCAGCAAATACTAATATCCAACGCTTACAGGATTACACAGGGAAACAAGTGACTTCTAAGAACCTGTATGCAGTGCTCTTGGGGATTAAGAGTGCAGTCACAGGTGGAAGTGGAAAGGTTATCGATAGCAAACCCAATGATCGAATATTCATATACTATTCAGACCATGGAGGCCCTGGTGTTCTCGGTAAATCGACCTCTTTCTTCTTTCCTCCATGTAACAATGGCAGTACAGGTTTATTATCGACTTGGTGCATTGACATAGTTAATTCTTGGTTAGGCATGCCAAACATGCCGTATCTTTACGCTGTTGATTTTATCGAGGTGTTGAAGAAGAAACATGCAATGAATAGCTACAAGGAGATGGTAAGCAGAGTAAAACATTAGTTGTATAGCTCTTTACAAAGAGCAATATGTGAATGATTTGGTGAACAGGTTATCTATGTGGAAGCATGCGAGAGTGGCAGTATATTTGAAGGTCTAATGCCAAAGGATCTCAATATCTATGTAACAACAGCATCAAATGCAGAGGAGAGCAGTTGGGGTACGTACTGCCCGGGAATGGATCCTCCTCCACCTCCTGAGTATATTACCTGCCTTGGAGACTTATATAGTGTGGCATGGATGGAAGACAGGTAATGTTTTATTCAAGGAAGATTAGTTTACTGTTCTGTATATGTTTCTTGAGGCTGTCCATAAATCCACAAATAGCTAGCAAATCCATGGAAGACTAGTTTACTTTCTGTGTATTCATGGAAGACAGCTAGTGCTTTGTGATATTTGTTTGCAATGTATTGGCGCTGCTAATGATCTCCAAAACATGGCCATGCTTATGCATCCTTCACTTTCTTTTCTTATATACTACCAGACCATCTTGAGACCTCTGATTGGAACAATGAGTTATCACTGATTCAAGGTCAAAGAAGATGATCACTTGTCTATGTAGGTGCTCATGTAGTAGAGAAAAGAAGAAGAAGAAGAAGAGAGGAACATTTTCCATCTCCCTCCTTGGATGAGGAGGAGAGGGAAGAGACGATCACTTCAAAACTTTTCTCTGTTACAAATTTCTCCACCTCAATTTTGTAGAGAATTTTGAAACAGGAATCAGCTCTGTCTCTCTGTTTCTCTGAAATTTCTCAACGAATAAGATAACTAAATTATCCTTTGCTTCTTTCTCTTCTCGAATCCTTTCCACTCGATAGAGTGAAAGATTCTAACTCAACATCCTCTTTTGCGTCTTGCAGTGAAACTCACAATCTGAAGGAGGAGACTGTAAGCAAGCAATATGAAGCGGTAAGTTCGTCGCAGAGCTAATAGGAACACAATGCCCCAATGGTAGGCTCTCTGTTACCAACCATTGACACTAATCAGTGTTCTTCTACAGGTGAAGGTGAGAACATCAAATTACAACACATACAGTGTAGGCTCCCATGTGATGGAGTATGGAGACAAGAACATCAAACCTGAGAAGCTCTATCTTTACCAAGGCTTCGATCCCGCTAACGCTAATATAACCGAGAATGGACTTTCACAAAGGATGCAGATGGGAACCATCAATCAGAGGGATGCTGATCTTCTCTTCTTGTGGAAGAGAGTAAGAATCTAAACCTCCAATTTGATGAATTGGGATTGTCTTATCGTTGTTACTTGTTTCCAGTATGAACGGTTGGCTGAAAGCTCAGAAGACAAGAGGAGAACCGTCATGGAGATTACAGAAACGATGATGCACAGAACGCACCTTGACCGTAGTATCGACTTGATCGGGAAGTTAATTTTTGGGTCAAACAGTGGCCCTGCCATCCTCAGGGCTGTGAGACCATATGGCCAAGCTTTGGTTGACGATTGGGATTGTTTGAAGTCAATGGTAAGTCTCACTCTCTTCTTCTTTTGAGAAGTTGCTAGGATCTGAGCCATCAACCAAATGAAAAGACTATGGATTTCATCGTCTAAATGACAGTAGAACGTTTGCAGGTTCGATCATTCGAGTCTCACTGTGGATCGCTCACACAGTATGGCATGAAACACATGCGGGCGTTCGCAAACATATGCAACAGAGGTATCTCCAGGGACGCGATCAAGGAAGCCAGTGCCAGCGCCTGTGGGAACTATAATTCGGCAATGTGGAGCTCATCGATGCGTGGTTACAGCGCCTGAACGACGAGTTGTAGTTCGAGCTCTAAGTTAGCTGAAGGCACGCGAGAAACTTGCCTAGCTGTATGTAATATGAACAATAAAGATGCACATCATGTCCTATAAATTTCCTGGAAACGGAGAAATTATATGTAGCGTTGATGCGTTCTGGTTGAAGATCAATTCCATGTTCTCAGTTAATAGCAGAATACAAATGAACGACTCCTCTTTTGTTGATTTGCTGGAAAGATCAAGTCTTTTGCTTACATCAGTTGGAAGCGCGTCCTCTCCGTCTCTTTCGGGTGGCTGTCTGTAGAACACACCCCCACTTGTGTCCCGCCGAGAAAGGTCAGATGGTGGCTAGCCTGCGTGTAGGAAGAAGTAATTTATTAGGGAGGAGAACCTAATAGGGAGTGAGAGCAGGGAGAGGGGGAGTGGGGATAAGGAGAACTTGCATGTTTTCCTGAGAAAAGAAATGAAAACTACAATGAGAGCCAATCCTGCCAAGATGCCGACAATGATAGCCACAGTCCTTCCGATGTCATCATCCGAGTAATCTATCCACTCACAAGCAGTGGCAATTTATATAAGCAAGCACTAAAGATTCTACTGGCATTTGAAACAATGAGGCTCTGTGTTATTGGTGCACTTCGAGTCCTTTTTCTGAATGAGAACAGAGTAGAGAGGTACGTAAAGTAGTGGAAGTTTGACTGCAGACCTGCGGAGGACCGGAAGTAGTGGCCGGAAGCCCAGTATCTGGCGTAGCACTGAGCCAAGTAGACGTCGGCCGCGAGCGCCGACCCGCACGCATTCTTCAGCTGCCCCACCGCCTGCGCCAGGCACGCAGAGCAGTCGGCGGCGCCCAGATCGCCCAGGCACTGCGCGTAACCCTGCACCGTGCCGGAGCTGCTCGTCCGGTAGCTCACCCCGTTCTGGAGGTCGGCCAGCACGTCATCCCGCCGCCGGAAGAACTCCGCGTCGTCGCTCCTGCTCGTGCTGCACTTGCGGTATGTCATGGTGGTGTCCGACTTCCCCAGGAAGTCCTCGTTGCTGTACCGCACGAAGCAGCCTTCCAGCTGCAGCGAGGCCGCGAGGGAGTCGGCGCAGACCAGGTTGAGCTGGCTGACCGCGCTCTGCACGCAGTTGGAGCAGTCATCGGAGCTCAGGTCGTTGCGGCACTGGTAGAGGCCGTAGGCGGCCGCGCCGCTGGAGTCGTCGCCTGACTTGTAGCTGTTGTAGGAGGCCTGCGCGGCGCCGGACACGATGGAGGTGAGGAGCGGGGTGAGGTTGTTCTGGAAGGGGCCGTTGGGGTCATATTTGGACGGAGAGCAGCCTGAGTAGATAAAGGAGGCAGCTTTGGCTGATTGCTTGGTGCTGTGAGGGAAGAGGAGGGTCAAGAAGAAGAAGAGGCAGCTAATGTGGAGCTTGTTAAGGAACATCCTGTTCTCCCAGCTCGTATAGCAAGAGGCGAGAAATTATTGTGACAATGTTTCGCCGGCGTTTCATATGGTGGGAATGGAATTTTTCTTTAGTGCTTTTTTCTTATAGTCTGTGGGCCATTGTTCGAGAGAGAGAGAGAGATGCTTGCGCCTTGTTTTAGGAGTAATTATTGCACTGAGAACTTTTGGAGTGTCAATGTCTCCCTCAGGGGTTGTGATCTCCTGGCGAAGGACATGACCACACAAGTGCTCAACATCTTTAGCAAAGTAAAGGGAGCTCATTTCCTGAGTACGCCATGGAACCTCTTGACCAGGTCCTCTCAGTGCAGGTGCTGGTCGACAGTCCAAACCCCTACTCGAAAGAAAGATAAATAGCAGAATGATGTAATCTTGTATTGCAGGGTAAATGCATCGCAGGTGAAGAAGAACAGGAATCCAAGATAAAAAAGAGTGGATCTTTACACCGACAATTGTGACTTCACCACTTGGTCAAAACTTTTCTTTCTTTACTAGTTATTTGCTGGGAAAAAGGATTAAGGCTCTGAAGAGACAATTGTTAGCCCTGAAACGGACAATCCTTGTCAGAGATCTATGGGGAGTTTACCTTTTCGGGCACTCACTAATTCTGGTCCCTCCCCATCTGGTGAGTCCTGTATACCCGATGGGGATCAGTGGCTGCTCTCTCACCAGCTCAGCAGCTGCTGCCGCTGCCGACGGATCCCTCTCAGCTGATAGGAATTCCGAGATAGATAGATAGATAAATAGATAGAGAGAGTGAGAGAGATTAGAGTGATTAAGAATAGTTGGTGGCCATATACACAGAAAGAAAACGGAAGTTAAAAGAGGGACATGATAATTGAGATGGTGACTCACCAGTCATGAGCACAGTGCTAAGAGCCATCAATTACCCCATAATGCGTGGATAGAAAGATAAAGTTGTCATCATGGCATACTAGAACGATGTAGCACCTCAATCATTGTAGGAGCCGTGGATTTGGTGGGAATTTTTCTCATCAACCAAGGTTGTCATTGGTAAGACTGTGTTCAATTATCCTCGCACGGTAGAACAACGAGTACCACAGTTGAGTATTTGCTTAAGGAGACCTGCAGCCACAAGAGAACTCTGTCCCTGCCATTCGAACAATTGATCAAACACTGCTTCTGCTACTGCGGAGATGTTTCGTGTCTTGGTTCTTGAAAAAAGAGAAGTGGACCATAATGTTTATGGTTGGTTCTCCCTTCTTTTGAGCTAGTCAAAAGACACGAATCCTGGTATGGATTGAGCTGTCTCTTCTGCTCTTCTTAGGCTTCTCTATCAGTCCGGTGGAAATTAAGACTTTCTTCTTCTTGTGGGTATCTGAAGTTTAGGAGAATCTGACACACATGTCTTGGTCATGTGGACCAGTAAATTTGTGACTCTTAAAAAGGAAAAGAGGACTGATACGGATCATCACCTTAAACTTGTGAATCTTTTCTTGAGGGATACATAATATGGCATATATACACAAATGAAAGTTAATTGACCTTTCTTGCTTGACTGATAAAAAGATCATCACAACTAAAGGATAAAACTAATGCTCGCATGATCATTGTCATCATTCTTGATCTTTATTTTCTTTAATCCAAGCTGTTTGGCATCAAACCCCTGCCAAAGTTAACTTTAAGCTTGTATACTTTTGCATAAATCCCCTTAGCACAGTTATAATGATAATACTATTAAGAATATTTTTAAGTATTTAAATTTCATAATTTTTAATTCAAATTCTCTATTGCTAACCTACTTTAGAAAAGCTATGGTTTTGTAGTGAGTGGCACACTAGAAAGCATCTAATAATTGTTCGTAAGGAATTCACTTGCAGCATGAGTATACACCTTTGTACAAGTCTAATTGACTTGTCATATGATTATGTACATCCAACAGGTAATATTGCAACTCCTACTCAATACACTTTTACTGATCAGCTATGGAAAGCTCAGAATTTTAGTCACATCATTACTGTGCAAGAGCTTTATTCTATTGTAAAGCATAGAGCATAAATTAGCTCAGTCACCATGAGCTTTATTCTATTGACAACACAACTTCCAAAGTGGCAAGGAGAAACAGATTTTGCTTCATTTTTACAAGAACAAACTGCAAAGTTAATTATAATGGATCTATACAAAACATTTACAGCAAATTTTTGACAAATCATACATTGAACTCTTACAGACACACACACACAAACAAAGGAGCTACAAAAAGGAAGCCATTAACTCTAGAACATAATAAAAGAACAAATAACAACAGCCAACTCAAAAATCTCGCTGCCCGCTACCTGAACTGGCCTTACCTGTCTAAGTAGGCAGTACAGTATAATTCTCATTCATGATGTTTCCAACTTCTTCCACTTCACCAGTAACTTGAGAAACTTTTTCACCTGAGAACGCTGAGCACATTCATCAAATATGTATAGCAAGACAAGTTGAACAACTGAACTTACCTCAGTAGGGTCTCTCAGAGAGAAGACGGCATTGGTCTGTTTCGGCACAGATGTCACTAGAATTCCATATCCACATTTACCTTCCCTCAGGATCTAGCATGATCAACAAAGATCGTGGAGAATAAATGGAAACGCATTATAAATGTATTACGGAAATGTGATACGGGATACCTTAAATGCATCCTCATCAGTACGATCATCACCAACGTATATCGGAAGAACATCGTCAGATGTTCTCAGACCAAGGTATTCAAGCAGGAATTCAACAGCCTTTCCTTTGTTCCAATCAATGATGGGACGAACTTCTAAAACCTGCACTGATGTAAAGTAAAAAAGAAGAACCCTTTCAACTAGTAGTCAGCAGTTTTGTTGATACCCTGCGCCCATGGGTGACTTGCAAATGAGGGTAGTCCTTCAGGACGTGATGCACACAGTGCACAACCTTGGGCCAATCCTGGGATACACAAGTCACAAAGAAAAGGAATTCTGGATTATAGTTTATGTATCCAAACGAGCATGAGATGTGATGCCTCAATCTGCACTTACCTTCTCGTCTACAAGGCGATAATGTACAGAAACACAGAATTTGTTGCTCTCGACAATGACACCTTCAATATCTTTAGTGACCTCTTTAAGGAAGCTTTGAACCTGTTTTTAATACAAAAAGCATTCAGAAACTATAAGATTTCTTTAGACAGCGTGATAGGGAATTCATTGCGGTGACCGTCGAGCACCTGTACCTCATTGATCATCAGTAAGAACTCTTTAGCAGGCTGGAAGAGTATTACTTCGTTTCCCTAATTAAGAATGAAACGATCAGTAAGCCTCTAGTACTATTGCTGAAAAAAGAAACCTTACTTGCAACGCGATTATGTGATCCAAAATTGTATTAAGTTCACTATCAATGATTCATTCTGATTCTGTTGTAGATCATGATGTAGTAAGAGGAGGATAGTATTGTTGGAAACATGAGGACAATAAACTATAATTCATAGCCGATAAAAGCAAAACATGGACATATATATCCCTTTCACCTGTTCCTCAATAGAAATAGTGCATCCTGGGAGGTCACTGATGGATTCATTTTTTATCACAGGGCCCATTATGTCCATTCCATGACTACCAGCATAATATAGTTCACCTAGCTTAACAAACTTGTAAACCTGAGAAAGAGAGTCAAAGCATAAAGAGTGTTAAGATTCGGTTCAAATATTCAAATAAGGCAGCATGAACAGCACTACCTTATGGCAAGACCTTCCACTAACAATTGCAGTCGAGAAGTATTTAGCAACATTCTTCACAGCAGTACGCATCTGGAACAGAGTAGATGATCATAAAAAATATATCACAAGAAAACTATTATAGTAGAAGTAAAAGTTGTAGTCCCCTATATGTTAATATTATAGATAAAACATTTACCGCATTGGACATAAAAGCATGTTCTGGGTTATCCACTATATGTGAAAGAGTTCCGTCATAGTCCAAAAACAACACAATCTTCTTATATTTTGCATGATTAGTAATTTGTTTGAAAGAAGATAAAGCCGATGGACACTTCATCTGCAGAAATGGAGGAGCTCAGCAATCAAAAACTTTTCGCGATGGCTAGTGGAGACTCTTTAGGACTTCCAAACTAAATCAACTTATAAAGCAGCAGAAAATTTTACTTACCATCCAGGCATCATATGCAGCATCATTTTTACAAATTGCAAGATCAGAGATGAAGTCCTTGTTTAGTTTAATGTGAGGAGGAGATGACGATTTCATCGCATCCAGGCAAGCACCATCATGGGATTCATTGAGCATACCAGATGAGGCTTTTCTTCTCTGAAATGTTGGGTACAAAGTAGAAGAAGGATATGCTGATGCTGTAGGAGAAATTGGTGACACAATGGGCGGCAAACACAGTCTTGAATTGCATGCATGTGTACGATCCGTAAGAATGGTTGAACTATGAGTAGCCTTCAAATCCATTTGATCCAGATCAATACCTTGGTTTTCAGTAGGAAATATCTATAGCTTCCCCCCCCCTTCTTTTATCAAGAGAATCACCTCTTTGGCCTCTCCTTGTCTCTAATATTGAGCTTGCAGTCTACGTAGATCCCCCACCCCCCCACGAGAACTGGTGACCAAGCAGTTTCCATATAATTGAAAAGTGAAGATATGCAATAAATTAGAGAAAGAAAGTTCGAATTAACACATACTTTCTCATTGCCAGATTGATAAAAGCATTAATCATCTGCTCAATCATTTTCATTTTACTAGAAGTACGGTTCAGATAATTGCCAGTTAAATCACTTCAACGAGATTGACCTATGAGTTGAATTGGATGGAAAGAAGAAAAAGTTCAGACGAAGATATAAATTGTTGGATCATCAACATAAACAGTTTAACAAAGAAGAAGCATTCTGATCCAAACATCAGGGACACAATTAAACCATCTCGTATCTTGCAGTGTCAAGGACGTGATGCACGCCAAGGAGCCTTGCGACGCTAGCTTCATCCCCTCTCGCCACCCTACCACGTCTACGTAAGTCTGCCATGCATCAATTCGTAGTTCATTGCATTTGTTTTGTTATAAATGATCAAGTCATTTTGTTTGTTTCTCTTGGAATTGGATCATGATTTGACTGACAGAATAATTAAATAGGACAAATCGATCCAAACTTTTTAACTTTGCTAAAAGCTGAAAAGCACCAATAAACTATTGAACATCATGAATCGGAATGGAAAAATACGCTTGAGCTGTCTAAGACATAAAAATAACACTGCCACAAATTGATATGCGGAATGCAGGATAGAAAATTCCGCAAGCAGCAGTAGGATCCGAATCAGTACTTGTATATAATATAAACAACATGAAAAATCAAACAAAAAAAAAAAGATTATATGCTCAGCCTCGAGGCAAACATAGCTCTTTCATTGGCAATCGACGGTAATCAATGGTCCAACCTACGAAGGAGAGACGGTGGGCTCCCCTCGTTTAATTAAGGTTTAGTTAGTTCCGCAGTAATGACAACTGGAAATGGTGGGCCGCCGAAGAGCCGATCCAATAAGAAATCGTCACGTAATTGCCCGGAAACTTCAGGTAGGATGAACAAAACGCCTTATCTCGATCGAACAAGTCCGCAGCAAAGAGAAAACAAGTAGGAATCGGAAGAATAGAAGCGACTCAACTAAAAGAAAAGAACACCGACCAAAGTGCTCAACTAAAGGAAGAGAACACAGACCAAAGTTTGCATTCAGAGAGAGAAGCAAAGGGAAATAATGAAGTGCGTACCTGTGCCCCAACGAAGTGCTGCGAGGGCGACCCGATCTTCGCAATGCGGCCGGGCAGTAACCACAGATCAAAATGAATCGCAAGGAAGACGCGGCCGGCGCGGGTCGATTGGGCGGCGGGCGGGGGGGATTGGTGGGGGGGGCGAGGAGAGGGGTTTTGGTGTGGGTGGGGGTTTGGATTTGAACCAGAATCCAAACTACCAGCCCACGTCGTTATATAGTTTGTTTGAAGGTCCCGTCTCTCCTGTACTTGAGTGTCTTCGTCCAAGACCCAAATCATTACTCTTCGACTTAACCGTTCCACGTGGAACGCTATCTGCGCCGGTCATGGGTGTATTGTACACTCCGCAGCTCAGTAACGGTCACCTCCATTCACCTCGTCCGTCTGAAACGTGGCGCTCTTCGCCGGGTCCCGCCAAGCTCCTGTCACGTAAGACGACGTGCCTTGACAACTGCCACGTGCGGCGGCCCCTCGCTGTCGTCAGTTTCTGGGTGAACCCGCCGCGAGACGAGCAGGGTGATGGAGATATACTGCCTCGAGATGCGTGTCCTGCAGGGTAGGCCAGGATCAACCATCAAGGAGCCACGTGGGATAAAAGTCGGAGAGGTTATAAACTTATTTATCATTTCTAAACATGATTATCCACAAAGTAGTCACAATTATTAATAATTTTTTTGAATTAAAATATAAATTATTAAATATCTGAAACATATTTATTTATTTATTTATTTATTTCTTCTCACCCATTGCACTAGAGTTTATCTGGATAATCTGGATGGAAATAAATAAATATATTTAAAGGATTAATAATTAGATTATCATTCATATATTATTCTACTTTGAAGCCGATCATCTGACAAACACCGAAAAGATAAACTTGATCTGATTCTAAGCATGGATAATGTGTATCTTGAGAAGCCAAAAAGAAATTTATCATTGGGATCTCGATATTGTTCGATTTCTTAACATGTCACATGAGAACATGAAGAAAATTAAGATTGAGGGTAGCTCGATCCATCCGATCAAAATAGTTACTTAGAGACCAAGTAGTGACAAGATCAAAATAATAGATTATTTTAGTATGGAATTCGGATGTTGTACTTATTCTCATCCATATCTAACTAATATAGGTTAATCCAAATTCGTATACGTATCCAAGTCAAAAATTAGAATCCCCAAATCAAAATCAGTGCTGTTATTTTGTGCTAAAATGACTATATCTCGACATAGAATCTAAGTTTATGATATCCGACACCTTTTGACTATAGCCGTCAAATATGATGATGGATGATAGGACGAGATGCCTCATATCAAGTGTCTTTTACTTGATGCCATCTTACTTGGAGGACAGGTGTATTAATCATTAGTGAAGATTAAAGGAGAGAGATAGATGAGATCGAGGTTTATGACCATTCGTATTAAGGTGTTGGAATTCAGTATTTACTATATATATATTTATAAAACCTAATAAATCAAGTGAGTGCATGATCTTTATACATATAACTTGTGATTTTCTATATCAGGATAATAGTGATGAATAAAAAATATATAATATCATTACTTTTTTTTGGATTACTAAATTCACCACTTCGTGAGGATGACCATATATATACTTTCTAGAGCATGACTGCGTTGATTTAGCTAGACATAGTTCTATTACCTACTCTCTCTCTCTCTCTTTCTCTCTATCTCTATCTCTCTAATAGCAACATGACCCAGTTGATAGGCATAGGACCAATACTCCGAAACCAATGCTGCACAAAGCTTCTGCCGCTGCATGTCCCCTTAATTCTACAGCCCTGCCTTCTCTTTTTCTACCTCTCTCCTCATGCGACCTTCCCCTGCAAAGAAACAAGAGCAGCCACGTCGCCGGTCACGGACTCCATTACTATTACGTACTTACATGCAGGACGAGCAACCACACTAGAACTATATGCTTTCCCAGAGCAGATATAGATTCTGGAGATCGCGATGTGTGGCTGAGAACTCTATTTCGCAGTCCTCATGAGCGATGGGTCACGGGCGGCATCCGGGAGTGGGACCCAACCGCGGAAGCGCTCACGGGCTGGAGTTCGTCCAGTGGGCCCGGGCTCAGTATCTCCACCCACCTTACTTTGTTTGGTGGTCCCTTTCTCCTTCCCAACCCTAAAAATCTGCCACCGGTGAGCCCACCAGAATCATAGGACGAGTAGCTGATGTTTATTTACGATAATAGAAGAAGAGAAAGAGAGAAATGAAAAGACAATGAGATAACTCATTCGCAGAGATATACTCACACCAACTTGTTGTCGATCCATTTCTTATTATTCAATTATAATATTAACCTTTGATAGGGAAATAATAACATAGAGGCATTGATCCGTTGGCTCACCCAACAACCTGTCATCACCTGGACGATGACGTGGGCAGAAAAACCCACACGCCTCTCTTTACTTGTGGCGAGCGGCAAGGAGGCAACCTTCTGCCCTTAGCCAACTCTAGTTTCGAGAAAGTTCCCACTAATTAGTCGCATGGAGCATTAATCCTTAACGGCGAAGCTCATTTCCTCCTTTCGGGAAAATCCACATAGGCCAACAGCATTAATCTCTAAAAGCTCATTTCCGGTCACTTGGCGAAGATGACTGTTGCACCATATCCTGAACAGGCTCGAGCCCTAACAAACAGTGTTTTTTCAATCGTCATACGTTGACAACGCATCACATGAGAATACCAACCGTTCTCCTACATAAATAAGCACCCGAAGGACATGTGGGCCCGTCCTCACTAGCCACCAACCTCTCTCAATTAGCTATTCAAATATACAAGTCAACTATTAGAGCGAGATCAAAGAGGAAGAACCCTACTATACTCACTCCCTTTAAACACTGACTTTACCATCGGAGTGATCGAGTCGAAAACTCCCCGATGCTGATTGTTTGTGCAAGGATCTTGTCGAAGCTAAGGCACATCTCGACTCGTCTCCAGAACCATAAGAAAGCCCAAATCACCTCAGTTCGACATAGAACTTATCTGGAGCGAATAAGCAACACCTCTAGACAAGTAATCAAGTTACGCCAACTCCCCGGTCAAAATCATCCAGTTGATAACAACCTCTTTTTATAGATAAAAAGTAAAAAAAATAATTATATTAAGTCAAATATCTTAATATTTTTTATCTTTCTTGCCAACGATATTCTTCTGGATCGACTTTTATTTTTCTTTCATTTCTCTCTCTCTCTCTCTCTCTCTGTGCGCGCGCGTGTGCGTGTGCGCTCTTGTTTCAGATACTTACATTACACATTTGGTTGATCAACTAATGTTTTTTTGCCTTTTGCATTTGCTGAAGAAAGCTAACGCATATGACATGAATTATTTCACGTCCGTACAGAATACAAGTATTCCGGACTCAACTTTTCTTAATGCAGCACATGTAACGTGCAAAATATAGATAATGTATCATAAGTTGGAAGACAATTGAACTTATTGCAAGATGCAACAAATTTAATGATTTCATAAGACAACATACGGCCCAACCATTCCACTGATCAGACAAGTACACAACAGGAGTTCAAGTTAAGGATACATGATTTGCTACTATCTAAACGAGGGTGCTTCACAAGCAAAGACAACAGCACTACCACATGCATCAACACGACCGATCACATAAGAATGCTTTCCAACAGGAACATAGATGGAGGAGACTACGTGACCCAAGGGATCATGGAGTCATGGCAGAGACCTCTACGGGCACTGGAAGCCCTTGGGGACGTTCTTCCCGCAGTAGTTGACGAGCAGGCTGAGGTCGATGGGGAGGTTGATGTTGATGCCCAGGATGTTGGCCTTGATGGCGGTGCAAAGGCACACGGCGACCTCGAGGTCGACCAGCCCTTCGATGAGGCTGCAGCAGGGCTCCTTGGGCGGCTGTGCCACCGTCGCGTTGATCAGGCCGTTGAGAACATTGGTGCATGCGGCGAGCTTGAGCGTGTCTCGCGGGCACTTGGCTTCCCCTCCGGGGCTCGGTGGGATGGGGCTCGGTGTGGGGGTCGGCCTGGAGCACGGGCTTGGCTTCGGCGTGTACGGGGTGCCGCCGCCACCACCACCGCCACCGCCGCCGCCGCCACCGCCACCGCCACCACCGCGGCCACCGCCACAGGCAGCGATGAGGTTGAAGAAGAGGAGATTGAGGGTGAGGAAGAGAGCAAGGGAAGCCGAGAACTTGGAGGCCATGGTGGAATGGCTGAGCTGCCACTCCGAAGCAGAAGTGCTAGTGATGGACTGTGGAAGCTGGAGGAGTCGGGTAGGGCAATATATAACGAGAGGGGTACATCAGTTTCACAGAATTGTAATTGGAGGAAGGGTACTGATGGCCACCGGTTTCGAGGGAAGAAACGAAGGTAGAATAATCGTATGGCCATGTGGATGTAAATGGTGAATGGTGGTTTTAGCTGGCAAGACGAAGGAAGGACAAGTTGACGGTTTGGTGTGTTGTGGATGGATGGGCAAAAAGCTTACAGGGCTTTCTTTGCCCCTCTTGTCTTCACCTGGTCAGCATTCACAGAGAAATGGCAAGATTCCATGGCAGCACGAAGTGCATGTTACCATGCAGAGCACAATGGGAGTTCCATTGGCCCGAGTCTTGAACTTGTGTATCATGAAAGCCATGGCTCAAGCCAGTAAGACGTGTGTTGTTGCGTTGATGCGTAGGGTTGTGAGTGCAGATGCATGTAATATCAAATGTCAAGGAACAGTCATGTAATGCACAGTAAAAGACTACAAGAGATGACTACATTCTTCGCATTTCTTGGGAAACTGAGCTATGGTCGCTCTTACACCCGTCAAGTAATGCTGTGGAAGAAATGATAGCTGACTGTCAGTGCCAACCTGATTTCATTTCGGAACATATAATACTAAAGATAGAGCATCTCTATTTCTTGGTGACAAGACTTGCACACTGATATATGTCGGAATAACTTCACATTTAAAAGGACGGATTCATACGTGTGATTTAGGATGATCTTAGATTTGATGGGTCCATAATTATGTTTTATTGTCAGGCGCTACAGTATATCTAGATATGATTAGAACTCATCACCCTCCAATATCTACTTCAAGAATCTAACTTAGTATGAGAGAACTCAGCATACATTTGAACTTTGGATGCTCTTCCAAATGAATCCTAAAATTAAGGCCCTAAAATCTGCAAAGTTACTATGACTATTTATCATCGGTTCATTATCATAAACGCTAGAAAGATTTGACTGGTTCAGGAATCTATTTGACACAAAAATAGTTCGAGAGCTTATTTGTTTGAATTTTTCGGATATCTCTCTTCTTTAGTATCTTCTTCGTGAAATTATTAGGTGATTGAACCTTACGAAAAAAAGTCATCGGAAGTCAACATCATCTTGTTTGATATATACTTTTGTCAGTTCGGGATTAGCTTCACCAACCCTAAATACTGCATGCACGAAGGTTCTTGCTAGCCATCATAGCATAAGCCGTAAGATTGCGAAGCAACTGGTCCACACGAGCTAGCTTACAACATATATAGCCAAGGGTGGTAACTCATGACAACATGATCGCATAATTAGCCATCTAATCCATCGGTGCTTCTTATGTTCTTATCTTTATAATCCTTCATGTACACCAACTATGTTTACATTCATCCAACGAAAACTCTGATTAATCACCTTCTACGGTGTACAGAAATCAAACTCGTGTGGGTAAATATTATAATCACCGACTTATGCCGCGGTGAATGGGAACACGCATGACCTGACAAAAGTACAGGCAAACGTTGATTGACGTGTTGTTCGGACGTGTCACGGGGTTCACAGTGTCCAGTGCAGTGACAACATAAATTGGATCTCCCGGCGGGCAGTATATTGATACCAAACATTGTCGTCATCTTCGTCCCATTCCGAACTTTCCCATTATTTCGCCTGCCTTTAATAATTCTTAGTTTCTACGTTCTTATTCATTTGTTTCTTCTAGTCGTAGTAAGTGCAGCCTGGCTTTGTCCATGTTCATCGTGATACTCGTCTGGAACTCGGGGACCAAAGTCATGCATGCATCTTAGTGGCGTTTATTAGTTGTTCATGTGTATCTGTGGAAGCATGATGGATTTTTTAGGTTAGAAATAATAAGTGACGAAGGTGAGATTTGAGCTCAACATCTAGTGTTGATAGTTTCTTGGAGTTGATTTGTTAGTATTTAGACCGATCGATTCTAAGTTATCATGATAATAATGCTCGTGATTAGGTTTGGGATGTGACGTTCGAGTCTTAGAAGGAGAAGTTGAACGCGGATGATCAAATCTTAGTGACTGTGATATATTAACATTTAAGTTAGAATGCAGTCGGTGTTGGTCTGGTTAGATGCTTATGATTTTGTTGATCTAGTCATATTTTGTGTTTGATGTTAAAGATGTTCCAACCATATCTCATTGCCTCCCTCCCAAAACTTATATAAACATTTGCTTATAAAACAAATAAAGAAAAAAAAAAAGGGGGTTGAGAGTTAGATTGATAATTCTTTTTATGTTTGAACCCGATGGTATATATCAGGATATGAGGTTGATAAGTTCGAATTAGAAAAAAAAAATACTCATAGTAAAATAGGCATAATCATTTTCCTTATTATTTTGTCAGAAGAGAAGGATGGTATTGCCCATGGAGGAATAAAAAATTATAGATTTCTTATCCAAATAAAAGGAAAAGGAGAGTTTTTTTTTTCTTCTATTTGAGAATGTGAATTTCTTATACAGTATCCTAAACAAATAAAAAAATTAAAGTAAAAAATGATTCCTAAATAATTATGTTATGTCTAGAGATGCTCCGTCATAAACGTCATTTATAATGATAGAGTGAACATGTAATAGAAAAATTAAAATTATCATTCATACCGAAAGTCAAAATGACACAAAGGTGCATAGCCGAAAGTAGCTTTGTTGGAGCATATTGGCACATCTCAACCAACCGCATGAGTCGTGGTGGGGAAATAACGATGTCGTTACAAGGGAGCTGAAGAGGATATGTATTGATATCCGATTAGTATTGTATATTCTTCCCATATCATCAAAATAAAAATAAAAAATAAAAATAATTTATCCCTTTAATTTGTTCATTGCATCAAGTTTTGCCTTTAATTAAAGTATGCACATGTTAGTCTCATTTCGAAGAAATATGAAAAAAAAAAACATGTAATTGTGCTTATTAGTCGAGATGACGAAGAGACCAACTCGTTTTATATAGATGAACAATCAACTAATTTGCAAGCATTTAAATGTCTATAAGTAGGTCACTTGAACCATGCATGTACGGGAACAAGTTTCTACGTGTTGAAGTAAGTGGATATATGAAATTGAAATCTCGCATTTAATGATCAATTTAAGGGAAATGAGATGATTGATTTTTTTCAGTAAAATCTAAAAAAAAGGCAAGAGAGAGAGAGAGAGAGAGAGAGAGAGAGAGGTCGACAAGGTGGTGCGGTGGTTGGTTGGATTGAGGTAGCGACGGGAACATATGAGGAAAGAGGGGAGAAGAAGATGGAAAGGAGGGAAACATCACACGTGGTGGACACAATAGAAAGCAATATAGGATGGGGTGTGTGACAGCTTTGAGATGCCGGTAAGCTTAGATTTTCTTTTTTTTCGGGTGCCGAGCCATGCAACTCGTTTATTAGATTTTTTATATATTTTTAATCATGTTTAAGATGAGTTTTCGAATTTCATTCAAGTACAAATAAGTTTGATTTTGATATCTGTATACAATATCGATTCGAAATAATCAAAGTTTTATTTTATATTTTTCCTTGATTGATGTTAGAAAAGTATTCAATACTATCCAACCACAAGACATACATCATGATCATGTTCGATAAAAAATTATTTAATGTTTAAGTCAATTTTTATTATAAGAGGTTGGTCAAGTATCAAATCCTTTACGACCAATTATAAAATCAAAATGTAAGAAGAATGTATTCCGATCATAGAGTCTTTTATGGTAAAATCTTATAATTGTTCTGCTTAAAGTCATGCATTAATATCAGGGATAATTATGTATTTTTCCTAGTCATAGTAGAATTATGCTACACTAACATCAAAAAAATACATAAAGGTCATAGGTGTGGTTGTAATAATTGAGACCGACAATTATACGATGTCAAGTGTTAATCACGTAGTATCGAGGTATCAACCATGTGGTGCTCGATCTCGATGGTACAATATTAGGGTATTGATCACATGTTGTCAAGATATCTATCGCATAGCAAATAGGTGTTAATTATATCATCATCCTCAATGATTTTCAATTCATTATTAGTGAATTAATTTTTTTTAAATATCTGGATTGTTTCTTGAAGAAATTATTTATGTAAATCTGAATAGTTATTCGATTTGTGTGGTTCATTGATCCGACCACTAGCTTCATTGTTGGTGGAATGAGATTGGTCATTTTACCACTTCGATTTGGTTTGTGCAACACATTTGGTGGATTGTATTTTATGTACTCTTCCGTAACCTTCAATCGATGCTACTTGAATGTTTCATTTATTATTACATGTAATTTTTAATTTAGTATAATCCACTAGAGTTAATTTATTATTATATGTAATTTTTAATTTTGTTTGATAACTAATCAAATTAGTAATTAGAATATGCCAAGAGTTTAATTGATAATACATTACATTCATCAAATCAATACATTAGTTTGAAACCTCAATGATCATCGAGATCACAATTCAATGGCAATATGGACGATTACTCGATTCGAATAGAATGAGCTATATGGCTGGCCGTGATGACAACCGCTGACACCCAAATTAGCATGAACTATTTTATTGCTCAATAACCCCAATGCTCGAGGATTCAGACATGCTTTTATCGAGTACGCCATGGCTCTAAGAACTTCTTGAACTATCCGAATCTCTACTAACTTAAATATCAAAGGGTTAGTTTTTTACATGATCATTTGCTGAATCTATCGTCTTCCTTACACTCTACTTGTGATGAGTGTGAAAGTTGACCTCGATTGGATCCAAATCCCCTCTACATATCAGACAATTAAAATTTGACTTATCACGAGTATAAATTTATTTTATAGGCTTCAAAATTATTATAAAATATAACGACTTTAGTTATAATTAAAAAAAGTAAAACATGTAAGTCTATGTTGTATGTATATACTATTAGGATCGAGTCGGCACTAAGAGGAGGGGGTGAATTAGTGCGTACATAGAAACGTCAGTATTGAAAATCTAACTGAAAAAAATTTAACTGAAAAACGTACGGAAACGTAGTGA